CCGGGCAGTGGAGTCACCGTGCACAACTGTCCTACCTCAACCTGGTTCGTTTTCCGAGTTGCTGTCACAAATGCCACAGACTGGCAGCTTTAACCACCAGAAATTTACTTTCTGATGTTTCTGGGGTCCAAGATAACGGTTGGCCTTCCAAGGCTGCTCTCTTTGGCTGGTAAGCTGCCACTTTCTCTCTGAGCCTCCACCAGGCCCTCGTGTGTGTGTGTGTGTGTGTGTGTGTGTGTGTGTGTCCTGGTCCCTTCTTTTCTTTTTTATAAAGATATTTTTATTTATTTGAAAGGCAGAGTTACACAAAGATAGATCTTCTATCTGCTGGTTCACTCCCCAAATGACTGCAATGGCCGAGGCTATGCCAGGCCAAAGTCAGGAGTCAGGAGCTCCACCTGGGTCTCCCACATGAGTGCAGGGGCCCAAGCATGTGGGACATCTTCTGCTATTTTCCCAGGTGCATTAGCAGGGAGCTGGATTGGAAGCGAGGCAGCTGGGACTCAAACTGGTGCCCGTATGGGATACCAGCAGCACAGGCAGAGGCTTAGCCCACTGGGAGGCAATACTGGCCCTGGTCCCTTCTTGTCACAAAGACACCGATCTTCATGGATCGGGGGCCCCCTAATCAAATTTCCTTAGCTCTACTTCTGCGTCGTGGGTGTCAGGACTTCAGCATGTGGATCCGGCAGGGAAGCAGCCCACACCACCAGCAGAGCCCGAGTCTCCGCACCAGTTAGAAATGCCCTCAGTCTACCTGCAGTCTGACGGCGACGTTTGAACAAGAGGCCGCGAGGACACCCAGCCTGGCCGTGCCCAGCAGCCATCAGAGGAGGTCCCCTCCCTCCAGGGGAGCTCCACCTTCCCCTCACCACACTCTCAGCAGAGCCACTGCTGCCATATCCCTGCCCTCCCCTCCCACCCCCTCCAGCAGGTGGCACAGACCCTGCCCCTGAGCCCTTGCCGGTTGGCCCCCCTGCCCCTGCCTCCGAATCTAACCCAGAGGGTTCCTGCTTCTCCAAGCACAGCCCTGCACCCCTTGCTTAACTTCTGAAATCACTCAGCTGTGTGCACCAGGATCCATATTAATTATGTAAATCTGGTGGGGGGTGATTCTCTTAAGCAAAGAGGACAATCCACACTCCTATCCCACAGCACAGGAACGTTCCTAATGTAGCAGCCAGTTCGGGCACGCTCGCTCCTCACGAGCCAGGCCCCTGCAGTGGCCATCTGGCACTTAGGACGCCCCTGGGCCCCAGAAGCTGTGGGGATGGGGAAAATGCACAACTCACACTAGTTCAGCAACACGCAAAAGCATGCGCTCTGAATGAGATACCCGTACAAGCGAGGAAAGGAAGGAAAACCGAACAAGGGAATGATGCACACCGTACTCATAGATAAATACGTAAGTGACCAGTGATGATCTAGGTTGGGATGGGGCGGCAGGTCCCTGAGAGCCTGTACTGCCCACAAACGGCCATAAAAGGAAAGACCAGAATGAGATAAAGTGCGATAGAGGTCATGAATCAAAGGCGGGAATCAATTAGGCTGTAGCCCCTGAAGTCCAAATAAAGGAAGAATACACATCAGCAATTACGACTTCCAGCAGGCTGCAAATGGATGGCTGCTATTTTATTCATCGCAGAGGCATCTGCATACTTTAGGAAAAATGTGGGGCCTCTATTGTCAGGCTGATTATTTATTCTGCCCATAGACAAGATCAAGGTCCAAATGGATTCAAGGACTTCTTGAAATAACTCTCCAATCCAACACACACACACACACACATACACCACACAAATGCGCACACACGCACACACACATGCTCACCAGGGTTGGTCACATGGGAAGAGAGCCTTGGTCCAGGAGACAGGGACCTGGGCTTCCCCCAGCTCTGCTGCCAAGACATTCATTCTTTCAGGAGTGACTCACTGAGCCCCAGCCTGGAGCACTCTGTGGATGCTGGGGACTGGTGGTGAACAGAAACAGCCCTGCCCTTGGAGAGTGACAAGCTGGTAGAGGACACGGGAGAAAAGGCAGCAGGCTCAGTCCCCAGCAGGTGGGGTGCCATAGGGAGCCTCCTGACCCAGACAGGACAGAGGAGCTGGGAGCTTGGCTGCATGGTGGAGGGGTGGGTGGGTCCCTGCGGGGCATTCCCTGGAGAGGGAACAGCCTGCACAAAGGTGCAGAGGTACAGAGGGGTTCCAGGGACAAACAGGATGGTCTGCAAGACCTCTCAAACAGCAGGAGCGAGAGCGTGGGGGACACTCCGCAGGCCATGGGGAGTCCCTCTGGTGAGGACGAGTGACAGGATTATAGTGATTGAACATTGCTCATCTGCCACAGGCAGGAGCCAGGGAGCCCTTGGGCTGCTGTGGACATGAGGCTGGCTGGGAGGGGCGGCAGAGGAAGTCCTTTTCTGTCCCCGGGCATCCCACTGCCCATCTGTAATAAGAATGTGGGGCTGGCCAGTTAGTGAAAGCCCTGCCTGGTCCCATGCTTCCACATGAAGACTCCAAGCCACTTCCACTGCTCTAATGCTGAGTGGGGATGGCGGGAGGTGGGGTGGGGGCGGCAGCAGAGAAGCGTCTGGCTCGGGAGGACAGCCCCCAGTGCCTCAGGACCAGGGTGAGCCTCCAAGCCCAGCAGGCACGTGGTTAACTCCCAAGAAGCCTCACTACTTGGTCCCAGCTCTGCCTGAGCTGCCTCACGGTCTGTGCCCTGTGACCCAGGACAGCCCTGCAGGATGCAAGGACGCCCTGTCCCCTTGGGCCCTTGTGTTCCAGCTGATCCTTGAGTGGCAGGGGCTGAGTGAGAGTGGGACTTGGTTGTGACTGTGACTCTGGGTGTCTCTGCTGTGCTCTGCATGGCTACTTGATGCCATGCATAGCTTGCAATAGGTGTGCCTGGAACTGTCCCCCAGCGCACAGCCCACATCTGGGGTGGGCCCAGGCGTGAGAGACAGAGCAGCAGAGGTACCTGCCTCCCCCCAGGCTTTGAGTGACACACAGGGCTCTTCTACAACACCTGTCACACTTACCAGGACTTGCTTGCCCATCTGCCCTTGTCCCCACCAGCCTGAGGACACACAGACTGTCCCAAATGCTTCTCTACTGATAGGTGTGGGACAGGGCCAGCCTGCAGCCCCAGGAGCCCCCCTCCCTCCCAGGGTCCTCCTACCCACTTCTGTGACCTTACTTTGCAAAAGCACCTAGACTTTATTGGTAGTTGGGTTTCATCTCTTTGAGGAAAAATTCAGCTCTTTCCAATTTCTTCCTCATTTGTCTATTTGCAAACACTAAAGGGAGGTAGAAAATCGATTTGTTCCCAAACCGCTACCTTCTCCAGTTTCTCCTGTGTCACAGCTTAGAAGCGTGCTTATAATAATAAAATCAATGCCAAGACGGCCCTGCATCCTGCAAACCCAGGGACTGTGGGTCTGGGCTCAGGCCCCAGCTGGCCATTCTGGAAGCAGCACAGCCTCTGGCTCTGCCTCCGAAGCGGTCACTTCCCCGAGGGACCTTCATTCCATGTGCTCTTCCCGTTAGGAGCACTCCAGGCCCCCTAGGCCAGCGCTCGGGTCTGCAGAAGTCGGTTATGAGCCAGAAGCCCTTGGCCTCAGGACCCTGGAGCTCACCACCCGCTCTGGGCAAAGTCAATCACTTAAGCTCAGCCAGGTTGCTCCCTCTTCTCGCTCCACCCCCAAGTATTTCCCAGGGGAGACTTCGGCTGACCCAGCCAACCACACTCTGACCTCCGAGACACCGAGGCACGCTGAGGGACAGGGCTCTGTCTGGGAACGAGAAACAGGACTCTGCAGAGAGGCCTGGGGTCAGGATCAGACCCAGGACGCGGCTGGGATCCCCCCCCCCTTCTCCCCGCCGATCCTGGCTCTGGTCATTGCCAAGACCAGGGGAGCTCTGCCTCTGCAGCTTCCCCCGCCCCGGGTGCCCCTCACTGTCCATCCAGGAGGACAGGCCCCGCTGGCTGCTCTGCACCGCGTCCTAGGCCTTGCCAGTCAGCAGGCCCTGGAGAGCCTGCAGGGCTCAGCCCTGTGTCAGTGCTCGCTCGCTCACTAGCTGCCTCACTGGAGCTGCCTGAGCAGTGACAGCAGCATTAATATGGAGCCTGCGGAGACCGGAAGACACAGAGACATCCCAGCCCGCCTCCTCGCCTCTCCCTGCTCAGGTGCAGCGTCAGGGTTCTCAGCCAGAACAGGCAGCTTGGGTCCCCAGGGGAGCTGGCAGGGGGGTAGGACTGGTTCCTGGGCCCAGCTCTCCCTGCCCTGCAGAGATCACACACACATGCACACATGCACACACACATTTATATGCACACACATGCACACACATACATGCACAGCTTTGACTCTCCTAATTCAGAACTTCCGGGCTGGGAGGACATCCCCAAAAGACAGGACAAGAATCCTGCTTGGGCAAACACGGCAGGGAGAGGAGACACGGAGGCAAGGCCAGGCCAGGGCCTGAGTTGGAACATGCCACCTCCAGGCCCTGTTTCCTGAGCTGTCTGTCACTCACCTGTGGCACTGGAGGGACACAACAAATTAGCAGGCAGACAGTGCTGTGGGCCCTGAGACACTGCCTTGCACACCTGACTTTCTTCCTCTCCGCTGGTATGGAAATGGGTGTCAGGTGCACAGCTGAGCCAGGAGCAAGAGTGGCACCTTCTCAATTCAGTCTCTCTAGGGTCCAGGGCACCAAGACCTGAGTGTTCCGGATAATTCCAAGCCATTAGTTTTGGAGACTTCCACATCTCATCAAATGGCAATGCTTGGGGCCCAGGCGCGGGGCGGACTACCTGGTTGTGCCGGACTCGCAGGTCCTGTCAGAGCCACATGCCCAGCCCCTCCTCTCCAGGACCAGGCTCTCCTTCCGAAACCTCCTCGCTGGATCCCAGCTCCCACGCCCCGCCCGGGTCTCCACCCACTCGGGCCACTTGATTGCATCAGTCCCTCCAGGCACGCAGTTTCCTTCCCAGGCCTGGGTGCAGACATGCACGTGGACTCCGCCCCTGACAGCTCAGGGAGGAGAAACTGAGGCCCCACTGCGGCCGGCAGCAATATCCCCCCTAAGAGGAAGGCTGTGGGTTCCCCCAAGCCGGCGCACTTCGCAGCCCCTGCGGCTCCGGGACAGAAGCTCACGCTCCCCAGCTCCGACCTCGCGGGTCCTGAGAAGGCGGGCTCGGGTCAGACCTGGGGGCCGGGGTCTGGAGGCTGGGCACAGCGCGGAAGGGCCGCCCGGCCCCGCCCCCTGGCGCCGCCATTGGCAGCGGCGGAGGCGGTGGACCCGCTGCAGGGTGCGCTCGGGCGCTCAGCTCTTGGAAGGTCCGGACTTGGCAGCTCCGGGTGATCGCGGCTGGGCCGGCAGGGGCCGGGAGCCTGCGCTCTCTCGGCGGCTCACTCTGGCACCCGCTCCCGGGCAGCCACGCTGGGCGCGCACTCCCACTCCCTCTGCGCGCGCGGCTGCGAGGCGCGATGGACGCGGCGCTGCTCCACAGTCTGCTGGAGGCCAACTGCAGCCTGGCGCTGGCCGAGGAGCTGCTCTTGGACGGCTGGGGGCAGCCTCTGGACCCCGAGGGTAGGCTGAAGGCGAGCGCACCGCGGCGGCGCGGGCTCCTTCCTCGCGCGCTCGGAGAGCCCGGCGCCGCAAGGGGCCTCCTCTGAGCCCCGCTCCGCTCTCCCGTCGTCAGGTCCCGACTCCTACTGCAACACGACCTTGGACCAGATCGGGACGTGCTGGCCCCGGAGTGCGGCCGGAGCTCTCGTGGAGAGGCCGTGCCCCGAGTACTTCAACGGCGTCAAGTACAACACGACCCGTAAGTGCCCCCTCGGCCGCCGCTGCCTAAGGGGGACACAGCTTAGGGAGCGAGGGGGCTTGGACCTGGGGTGGCGACCTCTGCGTGTGGCAGTACCGCCACACCGCTGGCCATAAAGACCCCTTCTGATGTTGGGGGCGCGTCTTCTGCCCCATCCACAGCACAGCTGCTAAGCTCTAAGGTAGGGATTTGCTTACGGTCCCGTGCTCCGCGCGGTGGGAGCGCAGACAGCGGAGCCAGGGATCCTGAGAGCTCCGATGTCTGAGATTCTGTGCTTCTCTTCGCCGAGAGATCGCGCCCCCACCCTCCAGGTTAGTCCGCAATGCCTGGCGCGAGCGTGCTGAGCGATCCGACCCCTGACACCTGGAGAACGCGGGAGGAGGGCGGGCGGCAGGAAAGATGGGGCGGGCGCAGGAGCTGGGGGAGCCTGAGTCCGGAGACTGCGGAGATGGCTGGTGGCAGGTGCACCTTCTCGTACCTAACGAGGTATCCCGGGACCGGCCCGCTAGGCGCATTCCTCCTGCGCCCCAGCAGTAGCTCTGGATCAGGAGCGCTGCCGCCTCCCAGGAGAACCACCTGTGCTGCTTTCCTCAAGTCACAGACTGGCTGGAGCTCTCCGGGCCAGAGCCTGCTGGAGTTCCCCAGGCTCCCGGTGGGCTCTGCTCCAGGGGGAGGGGCTGGCGCAGAGGTGCTGATGTCTACGCCCTTGGGAGCCGGATGTGAGCTCTGATGACGGCTGTGGGGCCCTCTCTGGATGCCACTCACACCTCCCACCCTGCCCCACCCGCTGAGCACCCCCTGGGGCCCTACCTCCCCTGGCTGAGAAGCCCCTCATCCCAGAAACATCCTGGCAAGTGCTGTTTGTGTCTTCAGGGTGGCCCAAATGCCTCATCACCACAGAGGCACACGCGCCAGTCCAGGCTTCCGGAGATTGCACCCTATCTGGTGAGAGGTGGCCAGACGAGGCAAGACAGCAGGGCTGCCCAGGCTGCCTCGTTGCACTCCCCCGGCTGCACCAGCTGAGGGCTCTGGTGGGCCCTAGGAGCGGCTTTGCTCTTACGCTCTGCAGCTCAGCAGAGGTGTCCCCAATGGGAGGGGGTGGTAGAGGCAGTGGGATCCTGGAAGCGGATTTCCGCATGGCCTGAGAGCATGCTTCCTGTGGGTGAGTGACTCCCCGGGAGGAAGTGAGCTCCCTGGGCCAAGAGGAATGCCAGCGGAGGAAACGGCTCCCTTGCTCCTTCTCAGGAGCACGGTGATTAGCACTGTGTTTTCAGGATTCTGTGAGTGTGTGGGGTGGGGTGGAGTGGAGGTCAGTGTGCCTGAGACCGAGGGTCAGCCGGGCCTAGGGGGTATCACAGCATCTCAACCCACGCCTGTGAACCTGAGGGAGAGCTCCCTGGTCTTAGCCCAGCCTGGTCTACACCCTGTTCTCCCAGCCAGCCCAGAGCTCCCTGGGGCAGGGCCTGGCTCTGTTCTTCGTAGCAGAGCTGAGCAACTTCCTGAACACCCACTATGTGCCGGCCCTTGCACTAGCACTCTATGGAGGCCCTCACTCGTAATTTCTACAGGCAAAAGAAATGCAAAGTAATGATGCCCCGGTCGGGAGGAGCTGGGGACTATTGGGGGTGAGGATAGGGTGGGCAGGGAAGACTTTCTGCAGGAGGTGTCATGGTGTATGACATCAAGTCGAGTGAGCTGAGAAAAGATCAGGGTGACATCAAGGTTGGTAAATGTGGCACCCATTAGCCCCGATAGCTAATGAGCAATTTTCTTTGTGTGAACCAAAGTGCTGTGACTGCTGGGTAACAGGAGAAGCATTGGGGGGAGGGGAGCATGGCCATTTACCGGTCCCTGGAGCTGACAGAGAAGTGACGGGTCAGCCCAGGTGGGAAGAGCCAAGGCAGCTAATGGCGATGGGAATTCGGGATGGATGTCTCTGCTCCCCTGCCTCCAGGAGCAGGGGGGTGGGGGGCCTCCTCCACTCACCTATTCAGTGGGACCCTTTCTTCTGAAAGGCTGGCACATGCAGAAGCTGAGAAGCCTGGGGGGAAAAGAGGGAGTCCAGACTCCTCTTCCTGTCCCAATTCTGAGATGCTACAGACTCCCCCGCCCCCCAAAGGCTCACTCCTTAGAGGACAGGGATCCCAGGGTCAGCAGGAGAGCAATGAAGGCATTAGTCACAGGACCCTTCAACCCAGCTGAGCACAGAGAATCAGCAGCAAGCCTTCTGTACTGATCACCTGCCAGGCGCCAGCTCTCCCAGAGAGAAGTTTACACCTATAATTTCACTCTCCCTTCACCCCAAGAGATGGACTGCTTTTCTACCCACATTGCAGATGGAAACATTGGGGCTCGGAGGCATGCAGTAACTTGTTTCCAGGTCTGATCAGTTCCTGTGCCCCAGTGCAGGCAGAGGACTCCACAGGGCACTCTCGCCTGCAGGGCCATGCTGCCTCTGAGATGGACTTCAGAGCCATGTTTGGGGCCCCTAGTGAGCAACGCTAGGCAGAGTTGGACCAGAGAGGGACCCCAGTCTCCCTGAGCAGCCCTGCCCATGCCATCAGACCTGGCCACCACTGAGCCACAATCCTGCTGCCACCACTGTCTGAAGTTCCATGCAGTTGTCCCTGCAAGTGCTGCTCCCCATCTCCCTCGGGGCAGGTGCTTCTGATGAGAGGGCCATGTGGGGCCCTGAGTCCCTGACTTGAGCTCTGGCTGCAAGGAAGGCTCTGGCATTTCAGCTCTGTGTCAGAGGGTGGTCTCTGTATCCCCACCCCTCACTTTCCCCAGGGATTCCTAAGCCCAGGTTCAAATCCTGGCTGGCCAAAAACAACCCTTACTGTCCATCTGCCTTAGAACCTGGGCAGGTCCCATCTCCCTGGGAGGGAAGCAGGTTAGCTCTGCAGTGCCTCGGCCACAGGGGACACTTCCGTTCTTTTTCCCTCCCATTCCGGTTCGCACAGATCCCTCTGAGTCCACCTCTGTGTGCATGTCTCTCTGTCTCCCTGTCTCAGTCTGTTTCTCTCTGTGCGCCTTCCGCCTGTTTTTCTGTCGCTGCTAGGGTGTTTCTCCCTCTCTCTCACTTTCTCCCTCTCGCTCTCTCTCCTCCTCCCCCTTCCTTCCCTGCTTCTCTCCCCCTCCTCAAATCCTTTGGCTCTCCCTGCCCCATCCTCATTCCATCTGCCCCTCTCTGGCACGCCCACCCCCGTGTCTGCCTGTGGACCTTGTGGCTGCAAAGGGAGATCCTGCACTGCCTCCTCCTGGACAGAGCCCCTCATCCCCTGTGGGGTCTCCAAGTGCAGCCTGACTCAGCCTCAGCCTCCTTGACCCCAGGCTCCCGCCATGTCCCTCGGTGGGGGGCTGGGCCCATCTGTATGTCTGCCAGCACGGAGAAGAAGGACATCACACTAGCCTTGTCCCATGAGGAAGGCAGAGGTCCTCAGTTCCCAGAATGCCTTTCTGGTGCCATGCTGAGACACTGGCTGGGTTGAAGTGGCTACACACAGCTGAGTGATTTCCCAGGGGGCAGGGGTGACAAGAAAGGCTGGGGCCTGCCCTCAGGGAGCCCTGGGCTGCTTCAAGGTCAGACTTGCACAAATCAACAGTCACAGGGAGCCCTGGTCCGCTTCAAGGTCAGACTTGCACAAATCAACAGCCACAGACTGCAAAGAGGAGGTTGGGGGCCTGGAGGATCCCTGAGAGGCTTCCTTGAGAGAGTGGGGGTGGCCCTGTAGGTCCTGGGGCAGTGGAGTTGTCACATTTGTTGAGGAAACACTCCGTGCCTGGCTAGGTTGTGAGCCTCGGGGATGGTCCCAGACAGCCATGCCCCATGAGTTGAGGGGAGAATCCAGAAACTCAGGGCTGCATTGATGTTCCCCAGGGACCAGAAGCCCCCTGAGTATGAGAACTGTTTGCCTGCTGGGAAAGATGCAGCCTGCACCCATGGTCCCTGTGCTGTCCAACAACCACATGGCCTGGGGGCTCCCAGCTGCCTTGTCTCCACTCACAAGGCTCTCCTGAGCTGACCCTCAGCCACCCCTACCTGGCCATCTCTATTCCATTGTAATTGCCATTAAACTGCTTGGTCCCTCTGTGACTCAGTTTCCCCATTTTCTCCTGTCAGCATGGACTGTTAGTCTTGCTGTACCACTCGAAGGTGGCAGAGCATCCTGAGTGAAAAGTCCTGTGCAAAAGGAAGCACAGGGTTTCCCAAAGTCCAGAGTGCAGGACGGACGCCCCCAGAGCAGCACCCATGCAACACGGCGAGGTGGAGATGTTCCCCGGCTCACACCCTTGATGTCACAACAGATGGCCCCAGGGAAACCACTCCCTTCCACTGACTGGGTTTGGCAATGAGAGAGTCCCAGTCTCCCAGTGCAGCACCTTTCCCGGGTCAGGCTGGCTCTGAGCTTGGGTGAACACCCCCAGATGCCTGCTCCCCACTATCAAGGTGCTATGAGCAGATCAAGACAGAAAGGCGCAGAGGGCACCCAGAGTTGACGGCTGCAGCATCAGGACAATGCATGAGACTGAGCTCAAGGAGATGCACCTTGTTGGGGAAGCTTGGAAAACAGCACTGTTGGCACCATGACTGTTTCTCTGACTGCTCCGTCTCTGGCCACACTTCCCCTGTGATGGAATGAAAAGCGATTAGCCATGCACCACAGCACCGTGGCCCCAGCCAGATGACAGAGGCCAGGTTGGGAGGAGAAATTAGCTGGAAGATTTTCCGCACAAAAGGTTAAGAGAGATGACCCAAAACCAGAGTCAAGGATTTCCCAACAGAACTCCAAGTCAGGTGGAAAGGAGATGGCTGGATGTGGAGGAGCCCAGCTCAGGCAGTGGAGGGGCTGCAATCTTGCTCAAGGCTGGACCCTGAGGGACTGTCCCACGGCAGGGGACGCCACTGGCTGTGTCTGCTGGAGCACAGGGTGGCAGAGAGGGTCTCTCCTCTCTAGAAATATCAACTGCAGGTCTCCTCCTAGAAAGTTACCCTGGGG